TGGGAGTCAAGCTCCTTAACCACCTGACCATGCCAGGCCAAGGTCTTAGGCTACCATTGCAAATTCAGCTCTGAGAAATAAATATCAATTAAATCTCTCAAAAACAACAATCATGGCATTAGCGTTTAAACAATAATGGTATTTAAGCAGCTTGCCATGCAAAACCATACTTTACATGTTAAACATTAAATTTTAACTGCTAAAAGTTGGTTGTCTAAAAGTGCAATACTTCTTATGTTAAAATACTAAAACAACTTTCTCACAAGTTTCAAAATATCTTAGTCTCAAGTCAATTTTATATACACATGTATAACTAAAATATCAATACAATAAAAACCTGTGTGTCTTTACTTGGTCTGACTTGTAGGTTCTCACTAGATAATACTGTTGTACTCATATGGCTAGGTAGGGGTTAAAATAATCAGGGCTACATTCATTTACAAATGAGAGAAACTATTCCACTGAGATGTTGACTAACATCCAGCCAAATGAAATACCAAATATGTTAACTACAGATTCTTAACTTAGTCAATGATAGTGTCACTATGCTAGCTATAAAACCCAGGTTACATGAATAAAATTCACAATAAACGAAGGATTAAAGGTAAATTCAACTATATCAATTGCTGATTTGATTTGAATGTTAAATATAGGTCTTTAGAAAACTTTAGTACCAGCCATGTTAATTTAAATCCTTGGTTTAAACAACAATCCTAAGTCTTTTGGTTTAACTACTAGTACCATCATCAACTACAGACCCTTGATTTAGGCATTACTAGTATCAACTGGAGATAACTTTGTTTAACCATTAGCAGTGTCAACTAATGGCCTTTAGTTTAGCTACTAGCAATGTCAACTACAGATACTTGATTTAACAACAAGCAGTCAACTAAATACCACTGGCTTAGTCACTAGTAGTACCAACTAAAGACCACTGGCTTAGTCACTAGCATTACTGACTAAAGATCCCTTGTTTTAGCTGCTAACAAGGTCAACTAAATACTCGTAGTTCAGTCACTAGTATTATAAACTAGTGACTGAACTAGGAATATTTAGATCACTGGTTTAGCCAAAAATTCTAAAAACTGAAAAATTTGTGTCATTAATTATACCACCTAAAGAACCCTGGTTTAGCCACAAGGTGTACCAACTAAAGCTGCTGTGTTTAGCTACAATTAATACCAACTAAAGACCAGTGGCTTAGCCAGCAAGAGTACCAGATGAAGACCCCTGGTTTAAAATCTAAACTCCATGCACAATGACACAGCTGACAAATATTCACAGATTGCTTAAAGCCAACCAACACAAACAGCTTATATGTGCTGGTTAGAATTGCCCCACCAGAAATCAGGAAAGAAGTTGCAGACTCAGCAGACACAATACAGTAGACACCCTCTATATAGCCATGTGGAAGTAAAGAAGTTACTGATGTCACAGAATAGGTTCTGCAGTTCAACTGAACTATTGGACACTATGGCAGAGACCACATGTGAAGAACTACGGAGACTCCACCTCCAAGAACTTTCACACACAAGCATGAGCATCGAACCATCTTAGCATCTCCCCAGAGGAGCAGAAAAGAAATGAAGCACTTAGAAAGACCTCAATTGCCTATGTTCTCAGGTCAGCAGATCCAGGGTCAACATGGTGAAATGGAGGTACTCCAGTGGACCAGCTGCCTACAACTGCAGTGAGAGGCAGACAATGCAACATCCACTCATCTGCTCACAACTCCAGGTCCCATGAACAGCAGAATACTTCACTGTAGTCAATGAACATGCAATCAGATGTGTACAGCACTGGATGGAAACATATAGGGATAGGTGGACACGACAAGAAGAACCACTGGTTTAACCACAAGTTATGTTTTGTCACTATCGGTACCAACTAAAGACCCTTGGTTTAGCTACAAGTAGTACAAACTAAATACTACTGTTTTTGGAAATTTGTATTGAAAAACTAAAGACCATTAGTTTAGCCACTGGTGTTAAAAATTAAGGACCTTCAGTTTAGCCACTAGTAGTATGATCTAAAAAAGTCATGGTTTAGCCTCAATTAAAAACCATTTATTTAGTCATTAGTAGTAACATCTAATCTTTAAATACAGACCTCTTGTTTATTCTCTGTTACTATACATTGGGTAAAAATGAAAACTCTTGGATTATCTGATACTTGTATCATTCTTGTAGATGAGTAAGTCAAAGTATTGATATGTTCTTTACATTCCTTAACCTTATAAAGGAAATAAGGTATTACAGGAACCAAAGGTTTTGCATCACCCTAGAATTATCTAAAGTTACTTCAAAAAGTCAAATGAAAATTGCTGAATAATGTTGCGTTTAGAGACTGTATGAAAGAATCTAAAGGATAACTCGGCTCTTTGGCGACTCATTTGACTCCATGCCTGAGAAGATTAGAAGTCTCGGAAAAAACATGGAATACACCATAAATACTGAATACCACCATTGTGACTTCTGTTAGACTTTGTCTGTTTTTTTAATTTCGGACAAAGTTACACGAGGACTATCTGCGCTAGCCGTCCCTAATTTAGCAGTGTAAGGGAAGGCAGCTAGTCATCACCGGCTATAGTTGTAGGTCTCAATACAAGGATATTAATACTCATGATAAAGACTTGCATCTGTAATAAGTGTTATATCATGATGTCAAGGAACTCAATTGCAACTAGAGGGGCACTCAGTAGAGTGGATACTTCCGCCACGCTGTTGTTTGTTATTAAGCACAAAGGGCTATCTGTGCTCTGCCCACCACAGTTCTCGAAACTCGTTTCTGGCCGTGTAAGTCCGCAAACATACCGCTGTGCCACTAGGGGATCATTCGCCACTCAGCGTTGATCATATTTGGCTCTCAAAAAAATAAAATGTGTCATTATCAACGGACACGGACTATTTTTGGCAGGGCAAAATAAGGAATAATATTCTATCATTTTTGACTTGAGTTATTGAGGAAAAATAGTGTGAAAAATCGGTCCCCATGTTAACAGATAGGAATTTTTATTACATTTATGTGACCTTGACCTTTGATTTTGACCCTCTAAAAACTAATCACTTCCAAGTTGCGCCGTAGTCCAAATGTATACCAACTTTTGTCCAAATCCATTCAGCCGTTTTCGAGAAATCTTTTTGACAAACACACACACACAAAGGGGTGAAAACACAACTGCCGTCCACCTTCGGTAGCGGAGCTAATTAGTATATGGTAGAGACGGCTGATATGAGTGTTATAAACTTATTTAAAACACGAGAAACGTTTCTGCCTCTTTTGGTCATTTCTAGGTTAAGAATGTCTCAAAAAGTGACCATTGTTGATCACGTGTCGTGAGGAATAAAAATAATGATAGGTATAAGAACGTAGGCGGTGTTGTATGTATTTTATTGTATTGGTAGTCAACAGTGTAATATCATACGTGAACACAACCAACTAAAACAACACTTCATCAACGTGAATAAATATCCACAAACTCTAGAAACAATTATACGCAGAAACCCCAATTAACAACACTTTAGACAGCCAACCAACAATCCGAAATTCAATGAAACAACTACATGTCGGCGACAAAATAACTAACATTTGGAAAAAAAAACAACAACCAAACTTAACGTTACAGTAAACATCGAAAAACCAGGTTCCAAACTAAAAATCTATACATTGTAAAAATTACTCTGACAAACATTATGCTAACGTTATTTATAAAATATAATGGAAATATTAGCAAGACTGGCCAAGAAATGGAAACTAGATTCAGTTAGCACAAAAAACTCATTCCCGTGTTTATGAACACTGTAACTCGAATAAACAAAAAAGCCCCCTAGTGGCTCAGCGGCATGTCTGCGGACTAACAACGCTAGAATACGGGTTTCGGTATTTGTGTTGGGTAGAGCACAGATAGACCTTTGTGTAGCTTTGTGCTTAACTACAAACAACAACACTAACATGTTATATAGAGAAACAGATGTAAGTATTACACTGCTAGAAACCAGGTTTTAATACTCGTGGTGGGCAGAGCACAGATAGCCCATGGTGTAGCTTTGTGCTTAGCTACAAACAAATGTAAGTATTACACTGCTAGAAACCAGGTTTTAATACTCGTGGTGGGCAGAGCACAGATAGCCCATGGTGTAGCTTTGTGCTTAGCTACAAACAAATGTAAGTATTACACTGC